AGTTTACATATCTAAATAATACAAGATTTGAAGTTGTTGAATCTATTTAGAGGTGGTTAGCTTTTTAATTCTGGGCCTAGTCTCCCAAGCCTCAGTAACTAAGCCCTGCACAAGTTGCAAGGATGAGCACTTAACAGGGTACCTGGTGATTCCAGGGAGTTTCCCGAAGTACCCCTCAGAGTGGGGAGTCCTTTTGTCCTCTGGGCCTTGTGAAGTGCCGAGGCTGTGAAATGAGTGAACTATTGAGTTTACCCAGAGACCTTCCCCAGAAGAGGAGTGCTGACTCATCTTTCCTGGCACACCCTCAGATCTCTTTCAGACCCCTCTCCTCTCTTTTTCTTAGCAGTTTCCTGATTTTAAACCTGTAAGATTATTCACTCAGGCTGTTGGCAGTGGCCGTACTACCTGTTTCACTTGTAATCTCCTGCCATCCAGTTACATTTCTGAATGTCCTCTCAGTGATCCTTCTGAAACACATGGTGAGTCTTAACGATTTCTGCTTAATGTTCACCAGTGTCTGCCATCATCTATGGCCCAAAACTCAGAACTGCTTATTCTGACTTGAGTTCTGTTAGGAGTTGTCTTTGCCTACACACTTTTCCACCAACACTGTTCTCTCCACATCCAGTCTGACAGTTTGAAATGACTGGAACATACCACATGCTTTTTCTGTCTCTGCCTAGCATGTATTGGCCAGCTACCCAGAATGGTTTCCCCTTCTTGTCTGCTTATCAAGCTAGTACTCACCCTTTAAAAGCTCAGTGCAGATTGAATGCAAATTTGGGATGCCTTTTGTGACCTTTCCAGTCAGGCTTATGTTTTGTTCCCATATGTTGTTATGCTTGAGATAGGGTCTCATCATTTGTTTACCTGAATGTCTCCTTTGGCGGGCCCACCAAGCCCAGGAACAATGTCATGTTCAGCTCTAGGTTTTTCCACACCTGGTACACTTCATAGCACATAACAGATATTTTTAAAATGAATAGTCTTTGACATTGCTCTTTGTTAGTCTCATTATCCATGAGGTTATGGGACCTTTGTATTTAAATTCATTCTGAAGATGTGTAAGGGTATCTTTTATGGCATAGAAGTAGCCATAGATGTGAACAAGATGAATTGTTAACATCTTTGCCTTTATATGAGTGTGTAGAATTTGGGGAAGTTGTAGTGTAAGCAGCAAGGAATCAAAACTCCACTCTGTTTTTGCTTGCTAGTAGTTAGGGTTAGCTTCTTGTGGACCTTGCCAGGAAGGAATTATTAACAATCCAGGCCTTAGTGTGCAGCCTTCTCCATGCAGTTTTCCACGTTTCAGGAGCAAGCCAGCGCTTTGGTTGTCAAACTGTAGTCATTCCTTTTTCTTTTTGGTTTTTTGAGACAGGGTCACACTATTTAATTCAGGCTGGCCTTGAACTCATTATGTAGTCTTGACTGCTCTCTAACTCTCAGATCTCCTGCCTCAGTCCCAAGTGTGCCACCATGCCCAACTGTCCCTTTTCTTTTTGAAAGAGACATTTTTGTTCATAGTAGTGGTATTGATTTCCTAAACTACTGTTTTCGAATAATAAAACATGACATTTATTTTGGGATAGGGAAATTATCTCATACCACTAAAATTAACTTTTTTTTTTGGTTAAAATTAACTTCTAGTAAAAATCTAGACTGCATTATTTAGCATATAGAAATCACCAAGTAATTAGATGCTAATTTACACTTTCTAATTTGTGTAACCATTCAATTCCTTTTAGGTAAAAATCTCAAAGTTTTATTCTGTAAAATCTGGTCTTTTCCCAATTCTTTAGTATTTGAAGTAGAACTTTATCACATGTAACACAAGCGGCATTCTTTCTGAATCTCTACTGAGTGCTCTGATGAGGAGTGGTCAGTGGGATAATGTGTGATCCGAACAGTGCAAAGGGGTGCTTTATCTACAGTGAGCCCTTTCTGGAGGTGTGGTTGTCCTGATCAGTTTATTACTTTATCTTACTTGGAAAATTATACCTTTTTTTTTAAGTAGGGAGAATTTATTAAGAGACAGAGGGGCTCTGGAAAGTGGATTGCCCTGGAATATTACACCTCTTAACCCTTTGAGCGGATAGCACATGTTTAGACCTTTTTGTTGGTACTGGCCAATAGGCGTATTACAAGAAAGTTGTTTTTTCAATTGTCACTGATACTTTCAGAGTTCTTAAATTGTGTTGATTTTTAACTTGAGACAAGGATACCTAATGATGTTTGAAGATGAAAAGAGAAAACAAATCCCTATATAATCATTTAATGTTTTACTCCCCCCCCCCCGGTAGATTTTGGTTTCCTTAATACAGTCCTGCCCCATTTTTCAATTAATCTTAGGATATGATCACTTTGACTTGGTCAGTTCTTTCTAGGGAACCGCAGAGAGAATCTGTGGAATTAATTAGTGGTAATTTTAGTACCTTCCATGCTGAAGGACAGTTTGTTCATCTCTACAGCAATTAATTGTAAAAAGCCCAGTGTCTTTAAAGTCTGGGGCAGTTAGCATTAGGCAGCAACTGAGTTGGCATGATTTCTTTGTTTGTTTGATTTGGTTTGGTTTTTTAAGACAGGGTCTCACTATGTAGTTCAGGCTGGCCTTGAACTTATGTACCCCAGGCTGGTCTTGAATAATTGTGGCCATCTTCCGATTTCAGCCTCCCAAGTACTGGAATTATAGGTGTTTGCCACCATGCCCCACTAACCTCATTTATTGTAAATATTCTGTGGTAAGATTTAACATAACATTGAGTAGTTGCCTTGATTTTTTTTTTTTAAGTAGCAAGCCTGTGTTTTTTAAGCAGCAGCAAGACTGTGCCATGGTGGCTAGCTATGCTCCCTGATTGTAAGCCTGTACCCAGTCACTCTCAGCCATGCCGCAGTCCAGTCCCTGACTGCTGACCCTGGACGGCCATTGCCTAAGGCTTCCCAAGGTGGTGCAAAGGAGGAACATAAATGCTGAAGTAAAATAAGTCCCCCCTTCTGTTGGAGACGTTAGAGCTTTTGTGTAGATTTATGGGTTAGCACAGTGAAAAAGTTATTGTAATAGTAAAAAATTATCCTTTAAAGTTCACATTTCAAAGCCTTTTTTCCAGACTCTTGATATTTCAATCACAATTATTTAATAAAAAGTATTTGTGCAAGAGAGATAATGATTACACATCTGTAGCTGCCCACCCCATATCAAGGCAGACCTGGTAGGCCTTCCTCCATATATTTAACCAGTTGGGTCTTTGGAAGATTACTTTTGTAATTCATATTTTTTTTACTGGATGCTAAAAAGTAATGGAAATTGTATGTTTCCTATGATTTTGTTTTGTTTTGTTTTGGGTTTTTTTTTTTTTTTTTTGGTACCGGGGATCAAATTCAGGACCTTGTGCTTGCAAGGCAGGTGCGAAGCCACTGAGCTAAATCCCTGGCCTTCCTGTGATTTTTGTAGAGAATAATCACACAGTGAGATGCTGAGAAGGACTTGGGAGGCTCCTTGGCTTTAAGAACTTTGCTATTGCAGGGTTTGATGCTTTATTTCCAGTCAGAGACAATTCCATGTTTGTTTTACACTCAGCCATCATTCCAAAGACTGGGTTGTTTTGTTTTTGTTTCTTGTCTTTTGGTGGTGCTGTGGATGGAACATAGGGCTTTGTGGGTGCTAGGCAACCTGTCACCAAGCTATACCTCCACATCTGGTCATTTTAAATTTTATTAAATGGGTGTTTACTTTTGGGTATGGTAGGTATGTTTTCCATATGTCAGCCATAAGGACAGTGAGACAGAACAAATGAACTTTGCAAACATTTTATTCTGAAATTTTTTCTACAGGAATATTAAAGGTAGGCTAGCCTTAGCAAAGTGTATTGACCTTTTTTGTTTAAATAATTAGAATTTCACATAAGCTGCCAACGTACTCTATACTTTATATCTTCTATATCTGCTGTAATTTTAATTTTTTACAGAGGTACAGCATGTTAAAACATGGTATACAACTTTATTTTTTTCCCTTAAATTCTTATATTGGTACATTTTAGGTATACAATACATTTACATTTATCATTGAGTACTTGTACCTTTACATGATATATCTTGGTTCTTATTTTTTCCCCATTTCCTGTCCTCCCTTCACCCCCTCCACCCTTCCCTATTTACAAAGACTTTGTTTCCATTTTTTCCTTTTCTCATAATTTTTCCTTTCCCTTCTTTCCTTTCCCCTTCCCCTCCCACTTTCCCTTTTCTTCCTATGTCACATTATCAATTATTCATTTTAATTATTACTTACACTTTCAGTTTCTCACACCAGAGAAACTATTCAGTATTTACACATGTGTGTCCTATTTATTTCACTTAAGAGTATGGCCTCAGTATGCATCCATTTATCTGTAAATGTCTCTAGTTTCTCATTCTTTATGGTTGAGTAGTACTCCATTTTATAAAAACACCTACATCTTCTTGATTATTCAGTTTCCAGTTGATGGGCACTTGGGCTGTTTCCAAGCTTTTGCTATTACAAACTGTGCTGCTATAAACATGGGTGCACATATTACAACTTCATTTTTTAAAAGACCTTTAAAATGGGTAATATTCTGAAGATCACAGTTAAATGTGAGTGCCTTGTGGCCATTGAACAAAAGTACCATAGAAATCATCTGTCTCTTGTAGGTAAGGTTGTAAATATTTGATGAATCTGTTCAGGCAGGAATGATTTTCTGTAATCAATCAGTACTTTAAGTATTTTAGAGTTTTCTTTTCCCCTGTTCAGTTTTGGGCTTGTTCAGTGTTTACTGCCAGTGTCATTTTTTTGTTTGCATTACCACTCTTACGTGTCTCGTGAATTGGCTTGAATATTGCAGTTCATTTTTTACTTTTAAGAAACCACATACTTTTCATATTAAAGCATAGTAAGTGCCAACAGATTCTATATGAAACTTTATTTACATTACTTCTGGGTCTCATTACTAAAATAAATTGTTGCTAATGTTATTTTTAAATTTTAACAGCCTCAAGTACTACAGCCTTCCAGCAGCCTTTCCAGACCCACAGACCATGCCCAGGGAAAACTAACAAAGCCACAACACACCGAGGCCCACAGTGAGTGCATGGTCCAGGGCCTGCATCAGGGCAGTGCACATCCAGATGGAAGCTTTTCACATGCCATGCAACAGGAAAACAGCAGTGGTTTGGAAGACCAGCCTTTTCCCTCCAGCCCACAGTTCACAGTGGGTGCAGCTAAGAGTACACCTTCTGAAGTGAACTTGAACATGGCCACGAATGCTCAAGAGCCTTGCCATTTGAAAAAGAATCAAAGTAGTGACACGCAGTTTGTACCTTCTTCTCTTCAAACACCTGCCCAGTCAAGCACAGAGGACCAAGCTACAAGAATTGGAAGAGATCCATCTCTGCTGGTGGGCTACCCATCTCAGCCCAAGTCCTCGCAGCTTTTAAAGCCGTCTGTCTTGAGTTCTTCAGCACCTCCTCCAGATTCTGAATCATCTCCAAGTAGGACTCCCAAATGTAAGAAGTCACCAATAGTCACACCATGTAATTCAGCAAAGCTTCAGCCAACATCTGGTCAAGCAGGTCTAACAAATCTGAATTTGAAAGTGTCCAGGCTCCGTCCCCCTTCCACCTCTTTCAAACAAAAACAAAAAGGCAACCCCAACCCTCGACTAGAACCTCAAAACTTCCAGGCCAAGACAAGCATCCCGAGGCCATTAGCACGACAGAAAGAAATAATGCAAAATCCAAATGGCAATTTGCATTCTGGGGATTGTTTGGCCACTAATCGATATTCTCGTCTTCCTAAACCAAAGATACATTAAGTACGTAACCATCACTTGCCAATTTGGTTTTTTTTAAAAGTCTGTAATAGCTTTATGTGCCATTTGCTACCATGTTGGAGATTCTATTGAAAGCCTCCAAATCTCAAAATTAAAATGTGGAAGTTTCCACTAGTTTGGCTCTTCCATTTTATATCCTGGTTGAAGTGCATACCGTGGAAGCAGACTTGTCTCAGGTGAACACAAAAGCTTGCTTATCCATCTTGGAGGCCTACAAGTCGCTAATCATACATCCATCCCCCTGTATATCCAGAAAGTCGTAACGTTCCACTTAGCAGGTGAGAAGTGTGCTTTGCTGATTCAGACCTGCTGCAGGTCTGTGTTGACTGCTTATTGGAGCCACCCCTTTCCACGTGTTCCCCTTGTGAATATGGCTGCCACTTAACTAAAGATGAGGGAATAATGGAAGATAATCATCTGTAAGCAGAGCTCTGGCCAGTATTTTGTATATTTAAAAGGTCTATGCAAAAGCTTTGTCATGAATAAAGGAGATCAGGCTTTTTTAATGGGAAGTCTATGTAAGTTTTATTTTTCCTTACTAGGATCAGCAAGTTTTACTAGTTGATTCATTTACAGGTAGATTTCCCAGGCTGAAAATGTTCAATATTGTATATAAACCAATTATATTTTGCTTTAACATCTTGTTTGTCATGCACACATTACCACTATTGCTCTTTTTGGTACTGGGTGGATATGGAGAGCTTGTGATACACCTTGAAACCCATTGGTAATGTTGTATCTATTGTAACATCTCTTGGTGCTAGAGTTTTGCTGGCAGTTCAGTTTCAAACCCTCTAGGCTTACCCATCATAGCTGATTTAAGGTTCCACAGCATATATTTTAAATTAAGTCTTTATTGTAATATTTATATTTATTGACTGCTAATATCCGAAGACTGGAATAATGGACTTGAAATATTTGCACAAAATTTTGGTGGGATATAAGTATCCCACACATAGGGACTTAAAGCTTATTTTCTATAGCAAAATAAGTTAAAATATTTTGAAAAAAATTAAAATTTAAGACTCTTGAGAAAGGTAGAATTCATAATAGTTTTGCTTTTCTGGTTTCCTAGGTTTCTCCTTTCAGTTGGTGCATGTTTGAATGACAGTTCCTTGAAAAGTAGATTTGGGAAAAAAAATAGGACTATACATGGGAAATGGTGTTTTATTAAGAGATATTTCAAAAGAAATATGCTCATTTATTTCAATGTGCTACCCCAGGTAGCTGTGGAACCTCCAAGCCATCGCGTGTATGCATGCAATCATGCTTTGGGCCACTTGTTGGACAGTTCAGTAAATTTGTCTTCCATTCTCTGAGATCATCTTATCTTTAGGCTGGTCATCCAAAGCTAACTGAATTGAAATTAATATTTTTAGACAAAAATACCTTACAAGGTCAATTTATGTTTTGATCAGTTAACCAAATATATATCAAAAGGAATTATGACCAAAAAAAAATCATTCAAATTTCTAGGGATTCCTATAAGAAATATACATTACTGAAATTATTTGTTCTCTTTTAAGAGAAAAACATCTCAAATGCTTGAGTGGAAATTCCCAAAGTGGTGTTTGCTCACATTCTGATCCAGGCTTTACCCCCAAGAGCCATGCATGTGAGGCTGCCGCGAACCTTTTGTTAGACTTGGTATTAAGTGGGCAGCACAAATCTAGTATGGTATACTCATTTGTCTCAGTATTTCACATTTCCTGTGCTATTGTCAGAGAAACCTTTGCCTAGTCCAGGTACTGTTAGTGTAAGGTCGCCATCGCTAGAGCTCTGCTTTGTTTGTGGAGCTGAGCCTGGACAGCTGCAGCTTTGTAGATAGGCAGTGTGTGATCCTTCATTTTGAAGGAGAAAAAATACAGATTTCATGCATTACAAATAGGATACTGACCTAATGAATTACATAGTAGGCTCCTGGTTTGTTTAGAAGTTTGGTATAGACCCTTAAGAAATATTATTTACACGTTGGCCTTATCCTTAGGGGAAACTTTTCACATTTTTATTTTTACCTACCCAGTCTAAAGAAAATGTCTTCATTGACTGTAACATAAAAAGTATTGACTCCGGTAATTTATTCCTTTTTGCTATTTTTTATTCTCCCCGATGAATTTGTAGAAATGTTAACCCACGAATGGTTCAGCTTCTCTGTACCTTTGTTGAGCCTTACTCTTGGCAGAAGATAGGGTTATCAATATAATTATGAAGCATATTTAAGAGAAAAAATAGCTAGAATGCTCATACAAGTAAAGTATTTTCCTGCAGTTTTCTTTTTTTTTTTGGTACCAGGGATCAAATGCGGGTCCTTGTGCTTGTGCAGCAGGCCGCGAAACCACTAAGCTAAAATCCCCGGCCCACCTGCAGTTTTCTTTAAAAGCTGCAGTGTCATGCTGGTCAGCTCCTTCGTAAATATGAAGTCAGAAATGGAAGTGAGTGTAATGCTGTCCTGAATAACCAGAGCTCAGCTTCTCATATTTGGCTTGCTCTCTGTTTATTGCTTCTGCAGATCAGCTCTGGGCCAAGCCTTCCTCCTGCAAAAGCTTAGATCACTAATTCTTTTGTTACTGTGGTATCAGTAAACACACTTGAAATGTTTAAATTCAAAGTCCTGAGGAAGAAGTTATGTGGTGGTTAAGTTTCACATTTGTGAAAGAGAAAATTAAGAGAATCTGGAATAATGTGTTTGGTTGTTAATAGGATGCACATCAGTTTTTCTAAAGAAAGCTTGGCCTAAGGCGTTTATAAGTATAGGTAAGGATGGTTTTAAGGCAGTAAACAGTGGATTACAGAGTTACATAATTTAGAATGTTTCTAATAATTGAGACCTTTAGCATTTTTCTTTTGGAGTCTCATTTTCATTTGTGCAATATTTCCAGGCATCTGAGACTACTGTTCATTGTATTTATATAGATATTAGAGAACTTACTATTTTAACAAGTAAAAATCTGAATATATCAGATTTGCACTTTAAATGAGCTTAACTGCTTGGAGTTGTGCCTGAAATATCAAAATGCCTCCTCTTAGGTGTGGCTTTGTTTAGTGAAATGGATTCCTCTGTAATTGTTGCTGTTTGAAAATATCAGTAGAGCCTTTCACAGAATCTATCCCCCACACATCACTTTTTCCATTAAAGCACTGTTTTCTTTAAATGTTCCATTGTTCCCTTAAGTGTTTTACTAGTGTCAGTCACTGCATCAGGGAGACTGTGACCTTCCCCCTAGCCATCATCTCTGGGGGAGAGGCGCACTCTGTCTTCCCAGCAGCGTGGTCCTCATGCTTCCAGGCTCCAGAGCATGTGCTTTGAAATCACCAGGGGCCCTCGCAGAAAGAGAAGACTGAGGCGCCACCTCCGGTTCCTCTCTACCATACACGGTAGTTTCGTGTTGCTGAGTTACTTTGGGCAGTTATGTTTGCATGCTTATTATGCACACATTTGAAAATTATAACTATAATACAGACACCTTATATTTTTCCTTGGGGATGATGGCCTTGCTGTTTTTCTTAATTCTGATGCTTGAATTCTGTTTGTTCTTGGTCTTTTTACATGTTCCTTTAAGTTTTCTGCTGCAGCAATTTGAGAGAATACATTTGTATAGATGATTATGATGGTGGGCACCAATGTACAATTATGTTATTAATGAAAAATAATGTCTTAACCTTGTTGAGGAAAAGTTACCCACTTTCTTCTTGGTAAAACATTGCCATAGCAAAATAATACTGACCCTGAAAGTTTAAAGTCTTAAGACATGACTAAAAACAAAAATAGTAGCCACAGTATTGTTTTTTACATTGACTTCAAAAACTGGTTCCAAGTACATACTGTATGTTAGAACTTGCCTGTAAAGTGAATTATAAAGACCGAATGTAAAGTCTCTTTCATGAAAATCTTGGCATAGTAAATAAAAATAAAGTTCATAATTATAAAAAAATTTTGGTCTTGGACTGTGAGTTCCATGGTTTACATTTTTTCTGATAGCTTTTCTCCACAAAGATAAAAAATACTGTTCATTTGCTAGATTACTTTTCAAACTCTGATACTTTTCACATATGCTCCTCTACACACACCTCACACTGTAAACCCTGATGATGGAGTAGAAATTTGAACATTCTCTTGTGTTTTTACAGATTCTGTCAGTGATCTAGCATTCAGTTTTCATTTGAATATCTTTTGTCTTTTTTTTGGTACTGGGGATTGAACTCGGGTCCTTGCACTTGCAAGGCAGGTGGCGGAACTACTGAGCTAAATCCCCAGCCTGAATATCTTTTATTTTAAGAAAATATGGGGACAGTGGATAATGAATCTTTGAAGAAATAGCACCTTAGCTTAGAGTACTGTACAAGGGAGAAAACATCATTTTAATTAGTTTAACTGCTTTTAAACATGCATGTATAAAAGACCTGCAAGGAAGAAAGATGTTCAGTCAATAAAATTTTACATACTTTGGGGGAACAGAACAATTAAATTTATAAGTTTTTTCTGATTTAATTGGATGTGATAATTAGACAAGATATAAAAGTGGATATAGTGATATATTACTAAACCAATATGGTTACATACACACTGGAGAAAGGAATTTTGTTAGTACTAAATTTGACAATGGCTTTTACTACCTCTTAAAATACCTGTATCAACTTTAAAGCCATCTGTGTTATTAGCAAGTATCTCAAGTGTCTCAAATTCCTTAGTCAACAAGTGTGATCATTTCAGTTTCTTCATTTACACTTTTGATTCCATGTTTTCCGTTCTGCCCCCCCCCCCCCGACACACACACAGAGTTAAGCAGGAGTTAATAATTCTAGCTTCTTAGTTGGGCTTTAGCAGTTTGGGTGGTGCCATTGGCAGTCACAGGTGAACTCACTTCCAAAACCAGTTCTTCCTCAGCAAATGTGCTTTTGTATTAGGATAAAAAAATTACAGCAAACAAATTAGATTGTTAACCCATAAGAATACATTCACCAACCTGAGACCTTAGTTCAAAATATGTCTGAGATGGGGAGCTTTTTAAGCTTGTTAAGACAAATTTTAGCTGAGGTTTTGCACTTAACATAAAAATAGGTCAAGTGCAAGTGTGAATTCCAATGAGAAAAGGAATAATGTCTGTGGTGAGTCATTAATACTGTTTCTTAAATTGTGTTCCTGACTAGTGGTGAGATGAAAATACTCAGGCACTCTAAGCTCTTCACTGCGTTGGGCTGCCTTGGGAGCAAGTCCAGGCAGAGGTTGAAGGGAAAGGGTTCAGGCCAGACCTGGGCACCCCGAGAACCCTTGGTTCTAAAGGGAGAACCCTTGGTTCTTGGGCAAATGGCAGCAGAGTAGAGTATACTGACCTACCTTTCAGAGTGCCCCAGGAATTTAAGGAGGCAGTAGAGGAAACCACGGCCTTATAGTCACTTGTAAATATTGCAGAAAACATTAAGTCCCATTATAGAGCAACCACAAAAACCAAGAAATCAATAAAAAGTGAAAATTTATTGACCTTGGCTAGTAGAGATACAAAATTGAGTTACATGCTGCATATATATATATCTTTATGCAAGGAAGTGTTTAAAAGAGTGGAAAATTAGGAATACCCAAATGTCTGACAGTAGGAGAATGATTAAATTATTTCATGTATATGATAAGCTATAGTCAGTTAATCCTCCAGTATTTACTCAGAATATTCACAGTGTAACTATTCAGAATCTAATGGGACAAAAAGTAACCAAGCCACTATTTCAGTACAAATTTAATAGGCATTTGTATATGAAGATCTACATAAAAACGTGTTAATGATGGTAGAATTTTAAGTGGTTTTACTTTATCTTCACCTTATGTGTTTTCTATTTTTTTTTTAATGGTAAGAGTATATTCTTATAGAGAAAAGTTTCTGTGTTTTAAAGAATAGGACCATTTCTATCACTAGGCAAGCTTTGTAAAGTACTTGGTACATAGGCAGTCAATAATCATTTCCCTGGTGGGCTCTGTTCATCACATCCTGCCATCGGATGATGTTTCAGAAGATCCAGTCACACAAAGACAGCATCAAGTGGCATAGCTGCTACCCGACCTCCAAGTTAGCATGACTGCATGGGGATTGTTACTGCTCTATGCCTCAGAAACAGGTCAGCCATTAGTGACAAAATCCGTTTCTCCCAAACTTGAGTTGTCTGCTCTCTTAGCGTGTACTAGCTAGGCCTGGAGAGAGTCACCTTTGCCCACCCCAGCCCTTCTCCATGTTCTCCATGTATGTTTTCTTATTGGTTCTGTCTACATTTTCCCAAATAGGAATGTCATAAATGGATATCTCTACATTGCCATTGATCTCCCTCAAAGTCCTCCCCTTCATCTCAAACACACTCATCCCATCGTTCTTGGTACTTTCTGAAGCAGGTCTGGATGTCCTCTTTGATGAGTGTCTTCAGTTGTGTTGTCATGGATGCCTCAGCGTCCTGAGTCTATTCAAAATGTTCACTTGCATGATCATTTTGACTTTAGGGCAGGGCTGGAAGTGGCACTCTTACATATTAAGTGAGCCTTCCTGGGTCCCACTGCTAGGGAGCCATTTGCTATGAAGTGGTACCAGGTCCGAATTAACTGCACCTCTGTGCCTGGGGTGTCGGTGCTAGATACCTGAACAGGCCATCCCAGAGGGCTCCGCTTACCTTGCCTTCCTTCAGCTACTGCCCAGACACACATCATCTGCTACCTAGTCCGCCCCCCATTGTTTATTGGTACATTTTAGGTATAAAATACAGTTACATTCGTCATTGGGATCTTGTATCATTACATGAGTATCTTGGTTCTTATTTTTTTCCCCTTCCCCTGCCCTCCCTTCACCCCCTCCACCCTTCCCTATTTGCAAAGACCGTTTCCATTCTTTTTCCTTTTCTCATATTTTTTTCTTTTCCCTTCTTTCCTTTCCCCTACCCCTCCCACTTCCCCTGCTCCTTTAGACCTTTTCTTCCTATTACACAATATCAATTATACATTTTTTAAAATTACAATATCAAAACTTAGAGGATATTACCACAGATTTTACAGAATTTAAAAGGATATAGAAAGCATATTACAAAAATCTTTTTCGAATTAAATTTGACAACTTCTAAGAAGTACCTTGGAAGACAAATCAATGAAACTGACTCTGGAGGAAATGCAAAATTTGAATATCTGCTACCTAGTTTTGAGACTCCATCCTCTAATTATACCATTTATCCGGGTTTGCTTCATACTAAGCTAACGGTACTCTGGTTTGGGTGAGGGGGCAGAGGACAGACAGCCAGGGTCTGGTTGTCTAGCCCTCAGCAGCTCAAGGCTGGGTTGGAGCTTCCTCCCCCAGGAAACAGGCAGACTGCAGGCTGAAAGAGATAAAGGAACCCGAAAGGAAGTTCAAAGCAGGCAACCTTATTACAATCCAAGCAGCTGTTGACTTATTTTTGTAAGAGAAACGAAATTCTTGCTATGACAGTTATTTTCTCTAGATATCAATATTTAGATTTCGGTAATCAATGGCTGGTGCCCAAACCTCGCCTCCACTTTTCTAATAGCTTCTAAGTGCAAATGAAGTTATGTGATTATTTTCCTCTGCCTGAAAGAAGAGGAGTTTGGCCTTTTTTTCTGAATAAGTTCCCTGGACTTAACCATTTTATTCTTTTGTGACTCAGACCTTGGAAAACAAAACTGAGAAGTTCTGGGCGTGAAAGGGAAGTGCGTTTGCACTGTGTGCATTTGGAGTCTGGTTCTCAGCTGTGCCAGGCAGAAAGAGGAGCCTGCGTGGGGCCAGCTGCTCTGCTGAGATGGGGCGGAGCAGCCATTGGGGAGCAGCCACCTGCTCTCTGCCTCTCCCAGGGCAGGTCAGAAGGCGGGTTACCTTCAGCCCCTTGTAATCCACATTGTCTATGCTTCCTCACTCCAGCCTGAGGACTTTGCTCTCTGTTTCCCTCAGTACTTTGTACACTGCACATGATGATTATTAGAAGATCAGGCATTTTCAAACCCAGTGTCAAGGCCTGGAGACGAATGACCCTCCCCTGACTCTATGCTCAGTGGTAAGGAGATAAATTACTCCCAGTTTGGTTGGGTTTCCAAAGCAGAATGATCTCATTTTACTCTTTTTTTTTCTAAAGCCACTGTAAAGCCATTGAAAGTTGGCCCTGCCTCTCCGTGGGTTAAACATCCACAGACTGAAAATATATAGGGGAGAAAATTGTGTCTGTACTGAATATGTACAGACTTTCTTCCTTGTCATTTTTCCCTGAACAATAGAGCAGACCAACTATGTGCATAGCATTTACATTGAATAAGGTGTTTTAAGTCATGTAGGGATGTTTCGAAGTGTCTGGAGAAGGCCTGTAGCTTATATGCAAATATTATGACCATTTTATATAAGGGACTTGGGCAAATGCCAATTGTGGTATCTGTGGGAGTCCTAGAACCAGTCCCCCACAGATACTGAGGAGCCACTATATTGAGGCATGTTTTACATACGTCATTTGCTATTCCAAATGTACAGTTCAAAGATTTTTAAAGAAAGTTTTCCAGGTGTGCAACTGTCAGCTTAAGTCAGCTTTTTTGGGGTACAGTGTTTCCATCACCCCAGGGAGGACCATGTGGTCCTTTCCTGTCAGTGCCTGCTCTCCCAGCTGCCACACACTGTGAGTCTTTGCCATACCTGGACTGTTCATATAAACAGTGTCACACAGGATGCAGTCTCCTGTCTCATTTCTTCCACTTAGCATAATTGCTTCAAGGTTCACCCA